CTCGCCACTGCCTTGATGCGAGCGACCCCTCAAACTCTTCCAAGAGGGGCACAGCTTGGTCACGACCAGCAATATCAGCTGAAGAAAAGTTCCAAGCATGACGATTGCACGTGCAACCACTCGTGGTCTCCCGCTCAGCAACTGAGGATGGAAGCCAACCCGCCTGAAGCAAATAAGTGACGGTGGCCGATATCGGCCCTCGAATGTGCCTAGACCTCCGAGTCTCAGGCATCCCTGCAAGGAACTGTACTGTGCTGTCCCACACACGCTGGGCGCATGCAGCCGAGGCTCCGCCCTCCACACCTAAAACCACTGAGCAATACTCTGCCTGAGTAATGCCAGCCCTGCCCAAAGAATGCCTGCGAGGTGCTGCTCGCGTGGCGAGGCCGCACCTGTCCAGGGGCAGCCTCGGAGGAGGACGGGCTCAGGGGGGGGACGCCTCGACTCCCACTCGCCCACCGATCGCCGTGCGGGGAACTGGTGGCTCACCCCGTCCAGGAGGCTGTGCGGCCCCTCGCCCTCGGGGGCACACCTCCGACCTGCCGGCGGTGCGTCGCCGACTCCTGGATCAGAACCTGGGAGCCGCAGCGCCAGCAGCTTCGTCGCGCACCGACCCCGACGCGCCGAGCTCGCCGCCGCGGCAAGTCGGCGCCTCTGCTCGACCGTGGCCGTCCCGAAGCAGCCGCAGGCCTGGTGGCCGTGCGCCGCTGCAGCCCGAGGTCCAGCCCGTGGCAGCTTCGCCGCCGTCGCGTATCCGCAACCAGCCCTCGCGAATAGGGGGGCCACGCGCGAACCCTACCCCTACCCCCCACGCTTTCTGAGGGGGAGGGTGGGGTTCACTTCGCTCGGGAGCTCCCGAGCGAGGTGAACCCCACCCTCCCCCTCAGAAATCGTGGGGGGTAGGGATAATGGAGGATGACGATTCATAAATGACCGGGGGTCGTGTTCACGCGGTGGCGCCCGGGATGACGATTAGGAAATACCGGCCGCGGGCTGGAAAACTATTTTTTAAATCGTTCTCCTCCAGTCAGAAAATATGGCAGAAATAGCAGAAAACTATGTTTAAAATCGTTCTCTCCCATTTTTTTCATTAATCGTCATCCCGCATTAGGGTTCGCGTGTGGCCCCCTATGCGAAGCGCCGACGCTTCACGTGCTGGGCCTTCGACTTGGCTGCCCCCTTCCCGGCCCTGCCGCGCGCCCGTCTCCTGCCTCCGCCAGGGTCCACGCCAGGGTAGGCTTCTGTCGGGCGTGTCCCCCCACAGGGGGATGTTCGACGAAAAATAAGAAATACTCCAAAAATACTCCAAAAAGGTAAACACATACCCCCAAACATAGTCCCCTGACTATTTCCCTACCTAGGCTCTGCCTAGAAGGGTTCTTACCCTCTTAGCTTAAAGGGGCCGGGCAGTGTTGCCCGCCCTGGGCGGTTCCCCCGGCATCCGCCCCGCGGTTCCCCCAGTTGCGTCCCCTTAGCTTAGCGTTGCTTATCTTATATTAGCCTAGCTTATTTCATCTTAACTTAGCTTGGCTTCATCTTAGCTCAGGTTTATCTTAGCTTAGCTTACCTTCATCTTAGCTTCGCCGAGCTTTAGCATAGCAGAGCACATCATAGCATATCATAGCGTAGCATAGCAGAGCGCAGCACATCATATCATAGCATAGCCCAGCATAGCATAACATAGCGCAGCATATCATATCATAGCATAGCATCGCATATCATAGCATAGCATAGCATAGCGCAGCTTATCATACCATAACATATCATAACATAGCACATCACAGCGCAGCGCAGCATAACTTAGCATAGCACAACATAGCGTAGCATAGCATAGCATAGCGCAACATTGCATCACATAACATAGCATATCATAGCGCAGCATAGCATGGCATAGCATAGCATATCATAGCATAGCATATCATAGCAACTCATGCTGCTTTCCTAGGGGCTCCAACTTCTAGGTAGGGTCGCACTGGGGTAATTTTGGATTAGTTTTCGATTATTGTTTGGGTATTTTTATGTTTCGTCGAAAATCCCCCTGTAGGGGGACAGGCCCGACTTAAAGGTAGGCCACCTGCATGCACCCTTAGATGTGGATGCCCTTGCGCTTCAGCTGCTGCACGATAGCCTTAGCATCAGCGTGGTGAGAACAAGTGACTACCGACTGAGGCGATATCGACAGGCTCTGCAATTAAAGACATTTGGACACACTGGATCTATATGCCCTTCGCCAACATCGTACGCACCTGCCTGCGAGAACCAACAGCACGCATCGATAAATCATGTATCCACAGCCTCTCTGATACAGATGTGTGCGTAGTGCACACCCGATGGGGAAACCAGTAATCATACAGCATGCAAATCTCGTCCCACTTCGCAAGCCCTGAACCGCCGAACGTGTGGGCTGAAAAGGAAAGAAAACGATGACGCTTGCGCAATCAGCCGTAAACTCAAACTTACCTACAGCTCCAGCAACATAATCGTCGGAGGAAGCCGCAGACGTAGAGCACCACGTGCCAGATGCGGCCACTCAATGCTGTCGTAAAAAGCATGCACGTCCACTAGCCCATGTCCGTGAGGAACATTGCGTCGCACATGTAGCTCCTCCTCTAACGCTCGGACATAGGCCTCGCGAAGAGCACTGTTGTTGGCCATCGCAGCGTCTCACATCGGCTCGTCGTTTAAAGCCCACTGCCTTACTTGCCTTTCTCGCGCCATACTCAAGAACCTGCAGAGCATGGCGATCAAGCCGATAACTCGATCGTTTCCTGATTTCTTGCCCAGGAGGCGCCCGATGACCGTTAGCGCTTGCCACGGCCAAGACAAATCTGCTTCCACAAGTCGATATACCTCACGCAACTCGGCCAGTGCGCAATTTGGCAGACTCCAAGTCCAGCGGCGACATCTGATCAATGCCGAGGCCCGCTCTGGGGTTCATCACAGATGCTGCTTGACGCAGGTCAGCCACAGTGAGAGGCTCAAGCTGTTCGACTCGCGCATGTTCTCGAATCATGGCGCACGCATCCATGATCTCATGATAAGATAGCGAACCGGATTTCCAAAGGGCCCTGAACTTGGCAACTTTGTGGTCCACGATGTCCACAGGATGCACAAGAATGTCAGAGTTTCTTTCCTATTGAACGTGCAGCTCATCCACCGGCGGAGGTGGTTCGTTAATTCTGCGGTGTATGGCCCCAAGGAATCACTTGATGCGAGCCACTCTTGAAAGCCACGTAACACAATTGAAGCTGCCCGTGTATGTGCACGCCTGGCTCCTCGAAACGCCCACTCTTCCATGACTTTGAGCCGCTCCAAATTGACCTCTCGCAAACCTCGGAGCTCCGACACAATAGACGCCCATGATCCCGCGCTCGAACTCGTCACCGTCGAACTCGCCACAGTATCTGGGGCCACATCCAGTAACCGACCGAGGGAATCACACAAATGCTCGACTTGCACCGCTCCATTCTGTCGTGATCGATTTCGCAACACTTTCTGCAGGATGGTGTGACGACTGCTCCACCACGCTGCCGTTGTATTTGCGACTGGCTGTTCCCGAACATGAGCTGCTTGCTTAGCTGGGACGACCTGCAAGTCAAAACCATGAGCACGTGTGATCCGAGTTGCCTCCAGTCCATGATGCGAGGTAATGGCGCGTTCTACGGTGCAAACCCACGTAGCGTATCGAGTACTCACATGTAATATATATATATATATATATATATATATATATATATATATATATATATATATATATATATATATATATTTATATATATATATATATTGCCGTCCAGCTGCGAAATCAAGGGATTCCCGAATCGCTGGCCAGACAGATTTTTCGCTCGCCGCTTCGGGAAAAAAATCAAGCAAAAATCCGCTGCAGCACGTCTGCAAGGCCGGTGCAATGAGCCTTCTTCTGCATTGGGTCCGTGACGAGCTGGCCGGCCTGGCTCAGCAGCGCCTCCACGGACGGGGGCTCCGACAAGGCGCCTTCGAGCGCCGGCACGGTGCCCTTGTTGCCAGGCTTGCCCTTGCAGAGCTCCACCTTGGACGAACACTTCCTGCATGTGCAATCCGCTCGGACCAGCGTGTCGTTCCACTCGTGTGTCCAGTGGCGGATCGCCGATATGCTGCCAACCTCTCTTGGTCAGCGGGATTGCCTGCCGTCGGCGACAGGGCAGGAAGCCCGCTGCTCCTCAAGCACTGCGAGAAAGTGAGAGGCCTTGGATCGAGACCGCTGCCAAAATGACGCGCTCGAGCCAATATGTGCTTGAGTACGTTGGAGGAGGAGGATGAGGAGGAGGAGGAGGAGGTGGAGGTGGAGGTGGAGGTGCAGGCGGGGGGGCAAGTCGTCCGCACTCGCCAGCCAGTCAGTCAATGAGCCAATCAGCCAATCAATCATTCAACCGATCAGCCAACCGCCAGCCACACAACCAATCGATCGTCTTACTAACCAACCAAGGTACCATCCTACCATCCTGCTATCATGTTCAGAGGCCGCGCCGCATCCATCGACCGTACCATGGCATGTCAGCGCCCCGCCTGCCGCGCCGTCATGGCTGCTGCCGCTACACCTCCTCTTCGTCGTGGTCATGCTTCATGCTGACGCCGCTGCTGCTGATCCTCATCCACCCCTTCCCTCGAAGGCGGATCACAAACCACATGAACACAACCTTCTGGAGGTGCGCGCTGATTTCTTGGATCCGCGCGGGACCCCCCTCCCTGTTGCGCAAGCGTGCAAGGGGCGGCGCCGGAGGCGCCGCCAGGGACGGGGGTCCCGCGCTGATCCAAGAAATCCGCGCGGACCTCCGACCGTTTGATGTGTTTATGCCGCTCTTTGTTCCTCCTTCCTGCGCCGTGCACGTCGCGTGCAGGCATGCAGGGCGCTGTCTCGCGCGAGCCCTCGGCTTATGGCCTCACCGGGTCCCTCACCCTCCCACGACGCGGCGTTGCTGCCACTCCTCCGCCCGCCCCTCCTCTTCCCGCTGGCGCCGGAGGAGGCTCTGGGGAGCCTCTGGGGCGCGTCCTCCCTCGAATACGCGGGGTACCTCTGCGCCTGCTGCCTGGTGGCCTGCGAGAACTGCACCCAGAGCCTCGTGCAGCCAGACCTGGCGGACCCCTGGGCCCTGCTCAGCACGATCGGAGGCCGTGGGACCGAGGGAAGAGGATCGAAGGATCGAGGATCGAGAACAGGTGCTCGACGGTCGAGGCTGTTGGGTGTCTTTCTGGGGACCGGCTTTTCGTCCCGAGTCGTTCTTGGACGGCCCCGGGGCCCCGCGCGAGCCCCCAGAGGCCGATAACAGGGAAAGCATGCCGTCTCGATATTTTCACAACACGTCGGACAGGTCTGGGCACGAGCCCACCCTGAGAGCGTCGACTACACGTAAGAGTGACCCTTCGCCAGAGTGACCTTTGGTGCGGGCTCATCGGGCTCCCCTTGATCGCCGAGCGCGATGCGATATAAGCGGCCCGCGCCCCGGCCCGTCGCCCAATCAGGTGTCTTTGAAGCGCTGCCGTGCCTTACATTTCTATATTCCTTTCCAGGTTCATGGGTCGATCATGTTTTGTCCTCTCTCTCTCTGTCTCTCTCCCAGATGAACGCGCTCATTCTCTCTCTCTCTCGCTCTCTATCCCAGATGAACGCGCTCAGAAAGTGATCAATCTTAGAGACTGCCCATCGGAGGCCGGATGGGGGAGCTCACGAGCCTCAGCGCGGGGGCGTCTCTGTTCTCCAGCTCGAGCGCGAACTTCGGATCCTTTAGCGCCGAAGACGTCTGGAGCAACATCGGCACGTACTTCGTCCAGGCCCTCCCCCCCGAGGATGCGAGACAAGGAGGAAACAGGTGGGGCGAGGGGGAGAAGTTTGAGGCAGGGAGTGGTCCATAACCATCGCCAGTGGGGCCGTTCTTCGGGGACCTCGGCAGGCGGTGGATATGGATACGGATATGGATGTCAGCCAGCGTGGACCCCAGACAGTGTGTTTTATTATGCTATGTGGTGCATGTTCCTGGCAAAGGCGCGGGCCCAGGGTTCTCTTTTAGTAGGTTTCCCCCCCGGTTGTGACTTGAAGAGGGCCGGCGGAATTATTCTGCCATAACTAAAGAGGTCAAAGAGGACTGGCTGAAATATTTTTGAGGATGTCTCGAGCGAAACGCATGCTGTTCAGAATTTGTTGAGGATGTTTCGAGCGAAACGCTTGCTTTGTGTTATAGCTTGTTCCTCTCCTGGTGACCAGAATTCAGAGGATGTCTCAGGTGAAATGCTTGTTTTCACGTGCCCAGACCTTGAAGAAGATTTTTCGAGCGAAGCGCTTGGTTTCACGCCTCCAGGTTGCCCAGGAAAAGGTCTAGCACCAGGATTTGTTGAGGATGTCTCGAGCGAGACGTGTGTTTTCACGCGTCCAGGTCGTCCAGGCAGATGTCTAGCATGAGGATGTGTTGGGGATGTCTCTCGAGAGACGCTTGTTTTCTTGTGGCACGTCCCGCGGTGCGTCCCCATGGCATGCCCCCCGGCACGTCCCCTGGCGCGAGCCTTGGGGACGTTCCGCGGCGCGTCCCCCTGGAATGCCCCCTGTCAATTAGCTCTCGGGCAGCTGCTATGTGCTCAGGCAGCTCGAGCTTAAGATCCATATCAGTTCTGTCAGGGCTGGGATGCAAAGGACGACTCGATCCATAACGCTATAGAGCACACTCGCGGCATGGTACATCGCACTTCAGCACGGCGCAGCACAGTACAGCCCTTGGCACGGTACATCAAGATCGATACACTCAGCATTACCACCTGGCACGTTCCTTGGCACGTTCTGTGGCGCGTCTCGTGGCGAGTCCCCCAGGCACGTCGTGCGGCGCGTCCCCTGCCACGTTCCGTGCCACATACATTAGTACGTTCCCTGGCACGTCCCGCAGTGCGTCCCTTGGCACGTACCCTGGCGCGAGCATTGGGACGTTCCGCGGCGCGTCCCCCTGGAATGCCCCCCTGTCAATTAGCTCTGGGGCAGCTGCTATGTGCTCAGGCAGCTCGAGCTTGAGATCCATATCAGTTCTGTCAGGGCTGGGATGCAAAGGAGGACTCGATCCATAACGCTATAGAGCACTCTCGCGGCATGGCACATCGCAATTCAGCTCGGCGCAGCACAGTACAGCCCTTGGCACGGTACATCAAGATCGATACAGGCAGCATTGCAAATGCCCGTCGCAAAAACAGGTGTCTTTAAACCGTTGCAATGCCTCACATGTCTATACTCCTTTCTCGGTTGATCATGTTTGGTAGTGCAGTTTTGGTGGGGCAATCTATGTGGTGTAAGGTATGTGGGGAAAATTGCCCGACACGAGCCCAGACCATTCTCCACGCGAGGGGAATATTTGCTTGAACGCTCCATAGTGGGATGTGAGCGATAAAAAAACCTCACCGTAGCACCCGAACCCTATCACCGTAGCCCGAACACCCGAACAACCAAACCGTAACCCTAACACCCAAACCCGAACACCGTGGCCCTGATAGCCCAAACCGAGATTCTCTATCCCTAACAACGTAAACCGGACGCCGTATCCCTAGCACTATGACCCTCACATCCTAGCCCGGACATCGTCGCCCTCACACCCTAAGTCGAACAGCGTGACCAGAATGCACGAACTCTGGCACCCAATCCCAAAACACCCCAGACCCAACTCCCCAACCCGAACACCATAACCCAAACTCACAAACTCCAACACACGAATCCCAACATTCTAACAGTGCCACCTCCTCCTCGTCCCGCGCCAGGACGGGTGCCAGCCTAGGCGGTCGTGATGTTTGGTGTATCTTATCCGTTGTATGTTATGGGTGTGCATTGTTTCTGCAATATTATATGCATTGTTATACTTTGTACGATCCAATGCAGCGAAGCGCCGGTATGCATACATTGTTTCAGTCATTGCTCATCACTAGGGCCGCGAAAAATAGGTTCACGCAACCGTTTGTCTACTTATGCATTTTCTTGCGAATTCTGGGCTGCGCGACTGCGTGGGCGGCGCTCACAGCAACGACGTCGCCAGGAACCATGCGATACAGGAAAGCATGAAAACATGATCGACCCACGAACCCGGAAAGGGAGGTAGAAATGTGAGGCATGGCAGCGTTGTCAATACACCTGATTGGGCGACGGGCAATTGCAATGTTGAGTGTGTTGATTTTGGTGTACCATGCCCAAGGCTGTGCTGTGCTGTGCCGTGCTGAACTGCGATGTGCCATGCCGCGATTGTGCTCTATCGCGTTGTGGATCTAGTCCTCCTTGGCATTCGAGTCCTGATCGAACTGATCTGGATCGTATGCTTGAGCTGCCTGAGTATAAAGTAGCCGCCTCAGAGTTAGTTGAAGTGGAAACGTGGAGGACGTCCAATCAACTCGACCTCAAAATGCGATTCAGCGCCGAGATCCATCACAAAATAACGCTGCGCCCGCTCTCCCTGGGCCACGATCCGCGCTCCCAGGGCCACGATCCATCATGAAATAACGCTGCGCCCGCTCTCCCTGGGCCACGATCCCCCGTAAACTACCCTGCGTCCGCGCTCCCAGGGCCGCGCTCCCGTGTGAATAACGCTGCGTCCGCGCTCCCAGGGCCACGATCCCTCTTGAATTGCGCTGTGCCCGCCCCCCCCAGGGCCAGGATCCGTTGTAAATCACGCTGCGTCCGCGCTCCCAGGGCCACGATGCATCGTAAACTACGCTGCGTCCACGCTCCCAGGGCCACCGTGAATTACGCTGCGCCAGCTCTCCCTGGGCAACGGTCCCTCGTAAACTACGCTGCGCCCGTGCTCCCAGGGCGAGGGCGGAGAGTTTGAGGGGTGATGCGGATGCGTGCACGCTCTGCACCAGAAGCCATCGAGCTTAGGGCAGTGCAGCCGTGCGCACCTGGCAAGTGGCAACACCTAAGTGGGAGTGGACGGCGGACAGGTGCAAAGTTTGCGGCCCCATTTTTACCAGTGAAGGGAGCTTCTCCAGTGTGCAGGCAAGCGAGGTGTTCCATTCGAGACTGCACGATTTGGATTGATTGTCCCACAACCGTGAGCAGCAGCAACAGCAGCAGCTCCTCCTCCTCCTCCTCTTCCTTCTCCTCCTCCTCCTCCTCCTTGTCTTCCTGTCTCTTCCTGTTGTTGGCCCTCCTCCTTGCCCTCATGTTTCCCTCGCCCGCCGCCCCCCCGAAAAAGAATTTGGCGGGAATGGCCGCGGGGTCTTGTGGTCACTTGCCTTTGGGTCGTCCGTGGGATCATCTTGGGGCCGCGAGGTCGGTTCGACGTCGCTGAGTCGTCGCGGGGATGTTTTTTGAGTCGCGATGCATCCTCCTGTTGTGCCCTACATGGAACGTGGCTGATTGTTATCTTTTGTCTCAGACACCCCAGGTAACGACTGGGGCTGGGAGCAGCGAGGCTTGGCATTGGAGATGCATGTCGGCCAGCCTGGCCCCGAATAGACCTCAAACACACCATGCAAAAACGCCCTTCAGGAAAACCAAACACCGCCGCCATTCAGCCGAACTTCCGGAAGGACGCGCGAGCACATTCGTGCGCGATTGACAACTCTTCGCGAAAGCAGATGAAACATGCAGAGCATCTGCGCGCGCAGGAACTCGACTCTGAAGCAGAAGGGGATCACATCACCCCCTTTGTCGCAGAAAATGGCACGTATCACGACCGTGGGGCAGAGAAAACAAAGCACCCCACGACCGTGCAGCAGAACACAGAGCGCACCACACTTAGTGAGTTCAGGAAATGGGGGGGGGGAGCTGGGGAAAGGGAGGGGAAGGAGGAAAAAGGGAGACGGCACTGTCGCTATGTATGATCGTGGCGTACCACACATGTAGTGCTGGCATAGTGCGAACACTGTAGGGGGGAAGCCGAACATGAAACGGTCCCGACATCATCCACAAAAGCGACGTTGTCTCAGGATCGTCTCGTGGTTGCCTCGGGATACTGGGGCCATGTGTCGGGGTCACATTGTGGCCGTGGGGTAATCATCGAAGCATAGTGGTAGGGCGGGCAGGCCCACTTCAAGAGTGCGCCCATGTAGGGTGCAGACACCGTCGACGCAACGACAATGTCACGAAGTTTGGCAACGACCAGAGTCGCCCGAGCCCTGGTGCAATTTTGAAACGCGTTACAATATTGATTTTATATTGAGGCGTGCCTCTACATGATTGCTCTCAGACGTGTCCCATGCTTTGGTTGTGAGACGTGCCTCAAATTAGTTAGCGTCGAATATTTAGCAGCTCGCGCCCGCCACCTGCCGCGTGCCAGCGACGACGATTGATGTGACAGAAATTCGAAATTTGGCTGAAGCCAGAAGCACCGCAAAGCACGCATGAGGACAGATACCCCGATTCCCCACAGCACCCATGCCACTTGACGCCCAGGGTGGCATATTTGACCCCTCAGAGCCCTGAGCGAACACTTAGCCCCGCCCGTCAAGTTTTGCACTTTGCACTAGCCCCCACAAGTGCGCATTTGAAGCACATCAGCGCGAAACCAGTCATTACAACACCGTCATATTCTCTTGCGATGTCCTTGTCGCCGTGGGATAGTTTCTTGTCGCCCTCGGATGGTCTGCGGGCCTGGCTCAGGTTGTGGGGTTGCCTTGGTTTGTAGTGCGGTCGTCTGGCGGCTCTTTGTGGGGCCGCGGGTCAAGAGGCCGTTTGCTGTCTTTTTGAAGCCACCTCGACGTTTGTCCCCTATAGGCCCTAGACCCTGAAGGCAATCTTGGGGTCCTGGGAGCACGTGGGCGCCCTGGGCGGGATGGGCCAGAGAGTCTCAGATTCGAGCTCTAACCAGAGG